TATGCTTCTACACATCGCTTTTAGGTTGCTTTGCCGGATCATTTGATAGGATGGTGGGGGGGCCGCACCGGGTTGCTTGCGCATGCCCAAATTTGAGGCAGAGTGTGTTTTTTGGTATTGTCATTACCAAACAGCTCTTCTGATAGGTTTCTAGTGGTCTCAAAAGAAAGCATCATGACTCCTCAGGGGGGTCTGGGCGGGACCCGGGGAGGCTGCCGCCGAAGCCGAAATCGCTTGGGACATCCTCGCAAAATCGCTCTTGGTGCTCCCAGAACTCCATTCCCGGGCCACATTTTGGATGCCCGGAGCCAACTGTAGGCCACATCGTGCTCTTCGACTTCCCAGAACTCCATTCCCGGGCCACATTTTGGATGCCCGGAGCCAACTGTAGGCCACTTCGTGCTCTTCGACTTCCCAGAACTCCATTCCCGGGCCACATTTTGGATGCCCGGAGCCAACTGTAGGCCACTTCGTGCTCTTCAAGTTCCCAGAACTCCATTCCTGGGCATGATTTTGAATGCCCGGAGCCAACTGTAGGCCACTTCGTGTTCGTCTAGTTCCCAGAACTCCATTCCTGGGCCACATTTTGAATGCTGAGGCAGGCTGATGCTGCGGCCGAGGCAGGCTGAGGCTGAGGCAGGCTGAGGCTGAGGCCGAGGCTGAAGCCAGACTGAGGCTGAGGCTGAAGCAGACTGAGGCTGAGGCTGAGGCAGGCTGAGGCTGAGGCTGAGGCAGGCTGATGCTGAGGCAGGCTGAGGCTGAGGCTGAGGCTGATGCAGGCTGAGGCTGAGGCAGGCAGAGGCTGAGGCCGAGGCTGAAGGCAGACTGAGGCTGAGGCTGAAGCAGGCTGAGGCTGAGGCTGAGGCAGGCTGAGGCTGAGGCAGGCTGAGGCTGAGGCTGAGGCAGGCTGAGGCTGAGGCTGTGACTGCGACAGCCGTTGCCGCTGCGACTGTCATCGCGAATGCGACTACGACTGCGAGAACAGCAGAATTCTACAACTGGATCTTCATCTGAATCTTAAGGGGAATGCTTTCAGATATGCTTCTACACATCGCTGTTAGGTTGCTTTGCCGGGATAATATGCAAGGGAAGGTGGGGGGGTGTCGGCATGGACCCGGGTTGGCCCCCAGTCGCCCGGGGGAGGGGATGTTTACTAATAGGGAACAATGATCAAGACGCCCTCCCCGCCCGCAAGCCGTTTCGCTCACTCCCACCTGCCTTCCCAACACATACGTAGCACCCGAGTCTGGCCCGAGCCTCAGCATATTCAGCACTCGTCTTTGGATGGGCAGCTACTGGGGGCCAATCCGCCGCCGCCGCCGCTGCCTCCGCCGCTGCTCGCCGCCGCCCGCCGCCGCCGCCGCCGCGCCGGCCGGCCGCCGTCCGGACCCGCTGCACGCCGCCGCCGCCGCGCCGCCCGCCGGCCGCCGCCGCCGCCGCGCCGCCGCCGAATCTGCCGCCGCCGCAGCCTGAGCTGCCGCCGCAGCCGTGCCGGCCACCGCTGCCGCCGCCGCCGCCGCCACCGTCGCCGCCGCCGCCGCCGCCGCCGCCGCCGCCTCCGCCGCCGCCGCCACCGGCCGCCGCCAGCCCGCCGCAGCCGCCGCAGCCGCTGCCGCCGCCGCAGCCGCCGCAGCCGTCGCCGCCGCAACCGCCGCCGCCGCCGCAGCCGCCGCACCCGCCGCCGCCGCCGCCGCCGCCGCCAAGTGTACACTCTGTATTGTTTTGTTGACAGGGGGGGCCGCATCGGGTACTCTGTATTGTTTTTTGAGAGGGATGGCGGGGGGAGGCCGCATCGGGTTGGTTGCGCATGCTCAGAATTTGGAGCCAGAGTGTGTTTTGTATGTTTTTTTTACAAGGGATGGTGGTGGGGGCGCATTGTCCCTGGTTGGCTCCCAATCGCCTGGGGGAGGGGGTGTTTATGAATAGGGGACAGTGACAAACCCTTTTCCGAAGGGGAAGAAGGGGGTGGAAGATGAAACACCCTAAACCACCTACGCCCTAAAGGGCTGGTGAGATTCGTGTTCCTCCGATGGGGCTCCTCTTAAGGCTGTCTTGGGCTGTCCAGAGACCTCGTGGGCCGTTTTGGGGCCCTCTTGGGCCGTGTGGGGCCCATGTTGGGAGTGTGTTGGGCCGTCTTGGGGAGATCTTGAAGGTCTGTTGGGCAGTGTTGGACGCGTTGGACCTCAAATGTCGTATAGGCGCAACTTGTACGTTTTTTTTTCTTCTAGAGGGAATTGGACATTTCTTCTTGTTGAGGCTCTCTAGGAGTGCCTCTTGAGGCTCTCTTGGAGCTTCTTGGCCTCGTCTTGGGCCGTCTGGCGGCGACCGAGGGCCCCTCGGACCGTCTGGAGCACGTCACGGGGCTCCCTCAAAGCGTTCCTGGGGCGCTCGGGAAAGCCTGGAAGGCAGCGCCGAGAAGGAAAACCATCTCTGGGCCTCACCTTGCCGGGACCTGTCTGGGTACTTTTCGTTCGAAGGCCTTTAAGGGCCGCCCCACGCGAGCGAACTTGCAAACCAGTTACCGGAGTTCTTAGCACGCCTCTGGCTCGTTGGGCCAGCGAATTCCGCGCGCACCTCCCAAGGTTGATGGTCGTGTAGTCTGTTGATTCTTCGAGTGAACGAAGACGCCTGGCCCGAGGCGCGCATGTAGGACACGAGACGAGCGCGGTGAAGAATCTGGCCAGGTTTTCGTGACGTGGTGCGTCACGCTCAGTCGATGTACTATGCACGACCTGCTGCTGAAGGTGGATCGCGAACGGAGGGGCATACTGAGCGTGAGGCGGCCAAAGTGACGTATCACTGATACTTAATCAATTTTGAAAACACCGAACTTGAGCCACGCACTATTCCCTATATAATTCTGAGATTGCGCGCCCATCCTGCCACGTCGACCAACGACATTCCCTCTTTCGCTAGGGTGGGACCACAGCGTACTTACGACCACCCCCCTCCCAGGTGGGACCAGGGCACACCCAGAGTCGCCCCCAGGGCTCCCCTAGGAACACTCCAGGGCGCCCTCCGTCACCCGTCCCCATCCCAAACCCTCACCACCACCACCACCACCACCCCCGGGCCCAAGAGCGCCTCCCACCCCGGCCATCGCCGCCGACTGGCATATCAAACCCCATACCTCGCATCAGCCGCGACACTATTACACATTACCCATGACACACACATCCTGCTGTGTTCGATGTGGGTTCGCAGGACGGGCACCGTTGAAGCACCTGGTCACGCGTTCGAACCCGATGCCAACTCTAGACGTCGGTCAGAGCTGTCAGTCGTCTGCCAGTGCTCTGTGGGAAGACTGCCAGTGGTCGTGGGTTGTCGGGAGGCTGTCAGTAATTCGTCAGTGGTCTGTCAGCGGTCTGACAGTGATCTGTCAGAGGGCTGTCAGTGGTCTGGAAGTGGTCTGACAATGGTCTGTCAGTGTCCTTCAGTGTCTGTCAGTGGTCTGACAATGGTCTGTCAGTGGGACGGGTCGGAGTACTTTGTGGTCCCATCCATGCCTCGTACTTTGACCCCCCCCCCGCTGACAGCACCGACAGACACTGACAGACGACTGACAGACCACTGGCAGGTCACGGACAAAGCACGGACAGGCCACTGACAGACCACTCACAGACCACTCACAGACCACTCACGGACCACTCACAGGCTGCGGACAGGCAGTGATAGACAACTGACAGCCCACTGACCGACCGCTGACATACCGCTGAGAGACCACTGACAGACCACTGACAGGCCACGGACAGAGGCCACTGACAGTCCACTGACAGTTCACTGCCAGTTCGCTGCCAGCTCGCTGACAGACCACTGACAGACCACTGACAGCCCACTGACAGCTCACTGACGGATCACCGACAGCCCACTGAGAGCCCATTGACAGCTAGGCCACTTAGAGGCCACTGACAGCCCCTCGCAGCCACTCGCGAGTGGGCGGGGGGGGGCGAGGGGGAGGCGAGGGGGCACGTCGGAGACGCTCGGAGGGGCCCAAGCCGACCCCCACGATGTGCCTAATAACATACCGCGTTCTACGCTCTGGTCCCACCTCAGCTCTTTCGGTTCTTTAGTGGGCGCTGCGACCGCATGTATTTGGCAGCCCGCGCTGGCCGGGTCTGGTCCCGGGCCGTTTCGTTTCAAGGGGTGTTACGTGTGAAAGGGGGCTCTTTCCTCCTCCCCCCGCGCCGCCGCCACCCTTCCCCACCCCCCATCTCTTGCATGCCGGACAGTTTGCTTATCGGTGCCCCCAGTTAGCCCGACGCTGGTGCGGATCGCCTCCGCCTCGCCGCCGACGAAAAAGGTTTGTGAAAGGGGACTCTGGACGAGGGCGAGGACAAGGAGGAGGAAAAGGAGGAGGAGGAGGAGGAGGTAGGGAAGGAGGAGGAGGAGGAAGAGGAAGAGGAGGAAGAGGAGGAGGAGGAGGAGGAGGAGGAGCAGCAGCAGGAGGAGGAGGAAGGGAGGAGGGAGGAGGGAGGGAGGGAGGGAGTGGAGGGAGGGGAGGGAGGGGAGGGAGGGAGGGAGGGAGGGAGGGAGGGAGGGAGGCGGAAGGGAGGAGGAGGAGGAGGAGAGGAGGCGTAGGAGGAGGGGGAGGGGGGAAAAGGGGGGAGGGATAAAGTGGGGTTGGGGGGTGTAGGGGGGGGGGGATAAAAAGGGGAGGGGCGGGGGAGAGCGGAAGGGGCGGGGGCGCGTGAGCGGGAGGGGGGAGAGGGGGCAAATGAGCAAGGAAGGAAGGAGGCACGGTGTAGGCTGCGGGCGGCGGCCCGTAGCGGGGCGGCGGGCGGCGGGCGGAGGAGGGCGGAGTGGGGGGGAGCTGGATGGGGGACGGGACGGCCAATGGGTGGCCCCGAATCAGCAGCTACCGAACGATCTGCACGATCTGCACTTCGATGTGCGGGTCCCCCGAGCTAAGCACGCGACGGGGAGAGAGAACCAGGGGCACGTGTTGGAGGAGGGACGAGGGGGGGGCATTGGAAGGAGCGGCCGGTGCTTCGGCGCTCCAGGTCCCCGTTTGGCCGCATGGGCAGCATGGGCGGCATGGGCGGCATGGGAAGCATGTTCGGTGACGACCCGTTCTTCAACGGAGGTGGTGTTGGTGCTGGTGGCCACAGGGGAACTTTACATGTTTGCATAGCGAAAATATGGGTCGATACCCGCATGGTATTCCGTTGGGCGCGGAGGGGTCCATGCGAGCTCAATGCAGAGTTGATGATCAGTGTATTTGGAAGAACGATGAAGTGCGCGTAGGAGGTTTACGATTGTGCCTGCGTGTATTTGGTATGAGCCTCTCGAGGGGGCAGCGTATGGGAAACAGCGGCAACTGCTCCTCCCTCCTCACCCTTTTTGCCTTCTCCTGCTCGGATTATATGACCTAAGAAGCAAAAGTTACATGAGCATAAGCGCTTTGAGGTTCGCGAGGAGTTCTCGGATGGGCGCTGGACCCCCGCCCGTCGCGCGGAGCGCGCCAGGGGCGCCACCAGAGGCGCCGCCAGAGGGGGCCAGCGCCGATCCCACGAACGCCGCGCGGAGCTCCGAAAGTTGACGTCCATGCCGCATGACGTGCTGGTGCCCAAGACTGCGTGTCAAAGACTGGCCCACTGACGTTCCCTATCCCCCCGATGGCCCAAGGGACCGACATAATCAAGCAGTGGCGAAGCGTCCTGGCTCGCCTATAGCCCTACCAAACAATGTTCTAAGAACCTTTTGTGGTTTGCACGAAATGTTCTTAGAACATTTCTGGCTGAGATGGTCTTGTTTTAGCACATCGGGTTTACGTTCTAAGAACGTTGCTTTGGTTATTAGAACATGTTTGGGTTCTAAGAGCATTTCGTGGTAGGGCTATCGGAATGCCGGGACGGTCGGTCCCTGCTCAACAGAAGCCCCAGGGTACCTCGGAAGCATCAGGAGATTCAGAGATCGACAAAGAGGCAGCACGCGTGCCCTGGCTCCTGCACGAGCTGCATGCCACCTCGTGGGCAGGAGGGCGGCGCTTGGCAGGCTGCTGTCGCTGCGGTGGCGCGGGGAAGCGTCAACTCCTTGAGGCACGGCCGGCTTGCGAGAACCTCCTTCTGGTTTACCGCTCAGGCCCCCCCCCCCCCGCAACTGAAAATGTGGCACACCGCGAAGCCCTGGAAGCGGAGGGGGGGAAGGCCAGGGGAGGCCAGAGGAGGCCAGGGTTAAGTCGGGCGGGCCTGTCCCCCTACAGAGGGATTTTCGACGAAAAATCAAAAAAACTTCAAGAAATAGTCTAAAAATGAACCAGAAATAGTATGGGGACTATGTTTTTAACTATTGTTTGACGTTTTTGGTGAATTTCTGGCGTATTTTTTATCTTTCGTCGAAAATCGCTCTGTAGGGGGACACTCCCGACATGAGGCCAGGGAGGTCGCACAAAAGGGGCGCCAGCGCCCAGCGAAAGCGGAATGAGCCAGAGCCCAAGGGGAGGGGCGACCAGGCCAGGGAGCCCGGGCAAGAGGGGGGGGGAAGCATGCTACGCTTTAGTCGGGTTTGCCCCCCTACAGGGGGATATTCGACGAAAGATACAAAGCCCCCAAAAGATAGTCAAAGAGTAGTCCAATAATAGTCTGGGGACTATGTTTTGAGTATGTGTTGACCTTTTGGGGGTACTTTTGGGGTATTTTTTTATTTTTCGTCGAAAATCCCCCCTGTAGGGGGACACGCCCGACGTGATGCCACGCATGTAATGAAGTTAATGATGCAATAATGAGATTTGGATTCGTGAGTGGGTTCGTCTAACGTGTCAATCTTGAGGCTATGATGCCTCTTTTGTTTGTTCCGAACCATGCTGTGGTGTTGGGTCCTCGTTTTGAAGAGACGGCGCCCCGCGTTCCTCACCTCCTCCTCCTCCTCCTCCCCCCCCTCCCTCCTCCCATCATCATCATCATCATCATCATCATCATCATCATCATCATCAAACATCCAACATCCAATCAACATCATCTCACCATCACAACATCAACTCATCAACACCACCACCTCATATCGGACACCACCCCTCACACGCTTCGGGCCTCCATAGGACACCACCGGAAGGCCCCAGTGGCAGGGTTCGCATGCCTCCCCACCACCCATTTCGGCACACCCCTCACCCGTTTCGTGGCCCCATAGGGAGCTCCACCGAAGGCCCCAGTGGCAGGGTCCGCAAGCCTCCCCACCACCCATTTCGGCACACCCCTCACACGTTTCGTGGCCCCATAGGGAGCTCCACCGAAGGCCCCAGTGGCAGGGTTCGCATGCCCCCCCACCACCCATGTCGGCACACCCCTCACACGTTTCGTGGCCCCATAGGGAGCTCCACCGAAGGCCCCAGTGGCAGGGTTCGCATGCCTCCCCACCACCCATTTCGGCACACCCCTCACACGTTTCGTGGCCCCATAGGGAGCTCCACCGAAGGCCCCAGTGGCAGGGTTCGCAAGCCTCCCCACCACCCATTATTGCCCTTCGTAGCCTACGCATTCGTGGCCCCATAGGGAGCTCCACCGAAGGCCCCAAGTGCAAGGGTACCGCCCAAGTGCAAGGGTTCGCATGCTCCCCACCACCCATATCGGCACATTTATATCCTCACACGTTTCGTGGCCCAATGGGAGCTCCACCGAAGGCCCCCCCAAGTGGCAGGGTTCGCTGCCTCCCCACCACCCATATTCGGCACACGCCCTCACACGATTTCTGGCCCCATAGGGAGCTCCAACCGAAGGCCCCAGTGGCAGGGTTTCGCATGCCTACCCCACCCGGCCACCCATTTCGGCACACTCCTCACGACTTTTCGTGGCCCCATAGGGAGCTCCACCGAAGGCCCCAGTGGCAGGGTCCGCGTGCCTCCCCACCACCCATTTCGGCACACCCCTCACACGTTTCGTGGCACCATAGGGAGCTCCACCGAAGGCCCAAGTGGCCTGGTTCGTATGCCTCCCTAACACCCATTTCGGCACATCCCTCACACGTTTCGTGGCCCCATGGGGATTTCCACTGAAGGCCCCAGTGACTGGGTTCGCATGCGCCCCCACACCCATTTCGGCACACCCTTCACACGTTTCGTGGAACCATAGGGGCTCCACCGAAGGCCCCAGTGCTGCTTTTCACATGCCCACCCCCACAAAATTTCGCTTCGGTCGTCAACAGCCCCCTCACACGTTTCGTGGCCCCCACAGGGAGCTCCACCGAAGGCCCCGAGTGCTGCGTTCGCATGCATACCCCCACACCAACAACGGTGCACCCCTCACACGTTTCGTGGGCCCCAAAAAGGAGCTACCACCGCAGCCCCAGTGGCAACGTTCGCCATGCCGCCCCCCACACCCATTTCGGCACATTCCTCAAACGTTCGTGGCCCCATAGGGAGATCCGGGGAGGGGGCGGAAGGGTGAATCGGGTTTACATGGGCACACAGAGGGGGGGGGGGGGGGGGGGGGGGGGGGGGGCAAGGGGGTGGGGAGGACTTCTCACAACTGCATATGGTTGGGTCCTTCGCCATGCTAATTTTTGAGCCAGCTATGATGCCAGCTCGTGCCCACCCCGTCCCGTCTCAGGGGGGGGGGGGGCTAGGGCAAGGAACCGGAGCCTTGGGGAGGGGGTCCAGGGAGCCAAGGCCAGAGGGGGGGGGGGGGCAGGGGAGGCGCCAGGGGCAAGGGAGCGGCGCCAGTGGGCGCGACGACAACGACGACGACGACGACGACGACGACGACGACGACACGAAGAACAACAAAAACAAACCAGCGAAAAATCCAAGTCGGTGGATGGCTTGAACATCAGTGAACTGGATATTGATATTGATTGCGAGATCGATAGTGACATCGATAGTTAGGCGATAGTACGGTCGATCGTGAGACCGATAGTGAAGTCGATTCAGTGAGATCGATCGTGAGATCCATTATGAGATCGCTTGTGCGATCTATAGTGAGATTCATGGTGATATCGACAGTGAGATCGATTGTGAGACCGATCGTGGAATCGACAGAGAGAGAAAGAGAGAGAGAGAGAGAGATCGGTAATGAGATCGATGGTGAGTCCGATCGATACAGAAAGCGACCAGGAACCACGGAACCCGGAAACCCAGGAGTCCCGCGTCCCACCGAAATCGGCCCGGAACTAGCAACCAGGAATTGGGGAACCCGGAGCCCCGGGAACCCGGGAACCCGGCCGCCCACCGAAGTCGGCAGGGCTCGTTCGCCAAATCTTTCAATCTCCGCTGTCGCGCCGTCGGACGCCGAAGAAGAGGACGCAGACATGATCGCGTCGTGAAAAATAACTTTCAATCTCCGCTGGGACCTTTTTCAGTGCAAGCACAGATGGGGGAGCACTCCTTGAGCTCCTTGTTGAGCACTGGCTCGGGCGCACGTTGAACTCCTTCTTGGACACTGGCAGAAGCGAGATGAACCAACATATGCCAACGTGTCCGCACACGCCTCCTTGTTGGGCACTGGGATTTGCCCCCCCATCCCCAGAGATCCGACGTCGCGATTTGTTCAATAGGGGGTCCCCGGAAGTCTCGACCGATTCCCCAGGACCGATTTTTCATCCTGAGTCGTTTTTTGATGGTCCCGAGGCCCAGTGAGGGCCCCTAAAGGCCGAAAATTACAAACAAACAAAAAAACGTCCGTCTTGATTTTTGCAATGCGTTGGATCTCTGGGTCTATGGGGGAGCAATCCGAAGCTTTTTGGGGAAGGGGGGGGCCAGGAAGGCCCGGGCTTTGGGGACGGAGTCCGGGGGGCCTGGGCAGGGGGGGCCACCAGGAAGGCCAGGACGGGGCGGCCAGGGGTGACCACGACGACGGCGACGACGACGACGACGACGGCGACGACGACGACGACGACGACGACGACGACGAACGACGACGACGACGGCGACGCCCTGGAGGGGACGTGGTCCAGGAGGCCACCAGGGCAAGGGGGGGAGGGGGGGGCGAGGCCAGGGCAAGGGGAGGCGAGGCAAGGGCGCAGCCAGGGAGGCCAGCGCTGGGGGCACGGGGTCCAGAGGGCCCAGGCGAGGGGGGGCTGCCAGAGAGGCTGCGACGGCGGCGGCGCGAAAACCAGAGGCGCGCTTGCCCTGGCTCTTGCACGAGGGAAGGGGCGAGGGCCAGGCGAGGCGGGGTGAGGACGCGGGGGTGTGCTTGTGGCCATCCTGGCGTTCTCCTGGGACCATCGTGTCCAGCATGAGGGGTCAGGGCCAGGGGGGCCTGGGGGGGCGACGAGCGAACGAACAAACGACGACGAAGACAAAGGGCTCCGAGCTCTAGAGCACAGCTGGGCAAGAGAATCGAGGCCGCTCAGATGCGATGCCCCGGGAGGCTAGGGGGCGGCCCAGAGGGGCTGCCTTGGGAGGCGAGCGGGATGCAAGACGAGGAGGCAGGGCCGAGGCCGAGGCCATGCCCGGGGAAGTCAGGGGGAGGCCGGGGGAGGAGGGCGAGGGGGAACGACGAAGAGAAAGACTTCCGCGGCGCAGGAGGGCTGCCCTGGGAGGCCGATGCCCCCTGCCTGGGGGGAGTTTGGGGGGGAAGCCAGGGGAGGACGAGCGACGACGAGCGACGAAACCAGAGGGCTCCGCGGCCCAGGGGGGCTGCCCTGGGAGGCGAAGGGAAGGCTGGCCGGGGCGGCGCAGAGCCCAGGGGTGCCAGGCCGGGGAAGTCGGGGAGAGGCCACGGGAGGACGAGCGACGACGAACGACGAAGAGAAAGAGGCCACGAGGAACGACGAACGACGACGAACGACGGCCACGACGGCCACGACGGCCGCGGGGTCCGCGGCCCAGGGAGGCCTCCCGGGTTCCGCGGCCCAGGGGAGCTGCCATAGGGGAGGCCAGACGGGGCCCGAGGCCCTGCCGGGAGGGGGGGAAGCCAGGTGTACGACGGCCGAGGAGGACGAGCGACGGCGAACGACGAAAAGAGAAAAGGCTGGAGTTCGAGAACGCAGCTCTCCAAGAGAGTAAAGGGATCCGAACCAGCTCCATCGGATCTGTGGCCGCATGCGAAAGAGCTGAATCGTGTTCTGGCCGAAGAGCCGTGCAGGGTTTGTCTGAGAATTCCGCTCCAGCCTGTGCATAGCCCATGCTATTCCGCTCGCCAAGTTGTCGAAAGCGTAACCGCTCGCGATCGTCTTCCGTCTGCTGAGTGGGAATGCGAGCCAGTCACGGTATCCAGTTGCGCCAGCATTTATGATCATATCATGTGAGGGAGTGAGACTGGGCAGGGCTCGCTGACTCGCTCGAGCTGGCTAGCTTGACGCGCCTCGTAAGCGTTATCCTTTGTGGTGAGGTATCGCACGTCTCTGACCCATGGACCCGGTGATGCTCGCGAGGGCGACGGGGCAATTGCCTTTTCTAGTGCCCATCTGCCTAAACGTATCGTGTTTTGTTTCGATGGCAAGGTTACGTTGGTTCAGATGTTCTGAGCCAAGGTACATGTCAAAGGATTGGCTGAGGCAGAGGACCACCATGGCGATAAATGGCGGACCCCAAGCAAGCAGAGGAATGAATATTTGACCCTGCCAGCAAGAAGGAGAGGTCGCTGCAGCAACAGAACCATCATTCAACGTGTGAGCCTGGACAGCGAAGCAACATATGTAAGGGAGCTCAAATCAGGTGAGATAAGACCTTGAGGTGTTCTGGGTACCACACCTGGGCACCGATTCG